CACATTCATAAGGTAATTGTGAGTGTGGTGGTCAAAATGGAAGCAATATTGTTCCATCATTCAGTTATAGCACTTTACCTTTTATAATTTATATCAATTATATGATAAAATATCGTACGTCTGGCAGTTTAACTTTTTAAAACTGCTAATAATCAACCTATTCGAATGCTGTCAATGCATTACGACTACATTGGCATGTATTATCCTGCTTAAATAATATCATCTTCATCAAGCCAAGTAATTATTTAATCGTAGCTTGCCAACTTGAGTAAAATAGTCTAAATTGATTTAATTGTTAAATGAACAACTCAGTAGATAAGACTTTAATACATTAACTTTAAAGGTAGGTTACAGTCGCATCTGCGCATGTGTTAGACTTTTGTTTATGTGGGGACACACAGGAAGTTGTCATCCTCTGTTTGTGCTCGGTCCAGTCTCATTTCTGGCAATAACACGCGCGTTGTTTTTATCGCAATTGAATTTAATGCCCAAGGAGCGAAGAAGTTTCCAAAATATTTTGAGCTTTTTTGAGCGACAGTCCGTCAAATAACGAGTTATTGAGGCAACATGAAGAGTAGGAAAGGATACTACGCTAACAGGGATGCTTCGAAAGTGTATCAAAGTGTATCTATTTTATTGTTTTCCTCGATGGAGAGCGCATTCCATTTCTGCGTCTGCCCATGAATGGCCATGATATACCTGCATGAGCTGCATCCTCAAGCTTCTACCAAAGGTTGTCAAGAAAAGAATCCTAGAAGGATTGGAGATTGCTCCAAACATAGCTGCAATGTTGATCCTTCAGAGAAATCGCTTGTTGAAGCCCATCAATCGAGGTTTTAATGACTATAAAATTTTCTTTATTACACTAGCTATTTCACTATCGTTAATATATACGAACTGTTTATCTATTCTGTTTACAAACTGAAACCCATAATATAATTATAAAGGCCTAAAGATATGATACTCGAGACTAGTGAGTTGTCGATGAAAAAATAATGAACAATTTGGAGTGAACATGTTTGGGACTTTTGAATGGCTGTTTATATAGACGTGTTATTGTCAATTGTCAGAGTGATAATCTACTTGGCTGTGGCAGTGCTTTACTGTCTTTGACTGTCTGCTCATGGACAACTTGTGCTCACTTAAAACTTAATAGAAACACATCAAAAAGTTTCTCTGATCAAAGTTAAAGTAGATTTTAATTTGATCAAAACACATAACAGTTTAAATGCCTTTTATATGGAGGCAAGCCAGCTCGGGTGCCTGAGGTAGCTTGCTTGGCCGAGATCTAATGTTGCTAGATAATTTATACTAATATTCGTATTGTGTGTATATGAGAACCAGGCTTGCTTGCCTAAGCAAGATCTTGTTTAATTTGTGAAGCCCGACAGAGCCCCAGATCTCGCCTAGGTTGGTTGGTTTGCCTAAGCCGCTCAATACGAATATATTGTACTAATTGTAGTAAATAAGACTTTCTCAACAGATGTTTGATCTATAATTTTATAAATTAATGCCTCTGTGAACAGTTGTGATGGTCATAACCATGACAGTTTCTCGCGATGATTTGTTTTGGTGCCAGCCTGCTACATGATGAAATTAGCTAGGCAAAGCCACCTAGCTCAGGTAACTGGGCTGGCTTGCTTCCATGTAAACACCCCTAAGACATTTAGTTTATAAAAGATTTTGATCACAAATACTTATGATGTAAACAAAATCAACTAATAATTACTAGTAAGTATATTTTCCACCCTAATTGTAAGTAAAAGCTTGCATATAAGAACCTGCATAAGGGCCTGTCAGGCTAATTTTTCAGTATTTAGACACCCAATCTGTTTAGGCTAGTATTTCAGGTTCATATTTTATCACATGGAGACCAGTCAGATCTAAAAATGTATAAAAATCAAAGAGAATAAACTCTTCACAAAGTAATGAAAATGATCCAGAACCCTGAAAATGTCGTTGAGATAAATAAAGTGTAGCTTTGCAGTGCATACAGCTTTGTATAAGTGCATATATACTGGCATTTTTAGATGATCATGACTGATATAGTTACTATACATGTCTTGTCCAAAAGTGGGGTCTGGGGGTTTGAAATCAGAGCTTTTTTTCTCCTAGATGGATTGCCAGCCAAGGCTTATGAGCTCCATCTACACAAAGGAATCTGATTTTAAGGTGCCAGACACTTGCCAGTTCATATTGTACTATAATTGCCTGATTTTGTGTCACAAAGAGTGGCACCATCCCATTATCTATGTTGGCAGAACAGGCTGCCGTGCATGGTCTGTTTTGGGACAAAATTAGACAACACAGTAAAACCCTGCGAATAAGAACCTAGATTTTTTCCAAGTTAGCTTAAACAGGTTCTTATGTACAGGGTCTGAAATATATTTTAGTATCCCGATATCCATAG